GGGCGCAGCAATAATTCTCATTCACCAAGAAAAATGTGAATTTTTCTCAGATCTTACTTCTCAAAACGTTTTGGCCCTGGTGGCTCAGTGGTAAACTTGAGGGCCTATAATTCTAAAATTAAGTGTCTGATCGTTGTGCCTGGCACAACACAGATAGCTCATTGTTTGAGGAAGTAAACATCTTAATTTAAAAACATCCCCAACAAAGCTATAGCTAGATGTTTGCTTTCTGATTCATGAAATTTGGAAGCATTTGATATAAGCACACGGGGTCTCTACTTCTTGCTCCCTGAATCGTTTCTTATATATGAATGGCCCGATATGGCCAGGTGGTTAGGGCGCTGCACTCGCAATATGAGGGTCGCGGGTTAACATTTTCCACTTGTCTGATGTCTTCCAGTTGGATGTTTCCATCGTAATGAACATTTTTCAATATCATCAACATCTTCCACTTTGATGAATATCCTCCAATTTTTATTGATGTCTTTTGGTTTGATATCATTAGGTGAGTGTCTTCCAGTGTGACAATATCTTCCACCTTGATGGATGTATTCCAGTTTGACGAAAATCTTCCAGTTTGATAGATATCCTTTCAGATTGACAACCGAAAGTCTTTAATTTTCTAAAATTCCAGATTTGTTCAATTGACGGATTTCAATATGGGCAAGTAAATATGCTAATTAACTGACAATGAAAAATAAATATAAGTCTAGGAAAGTAAACAATTTAAATATTATGTGGGTATAGAGAAATCTCCGTTTGGATTGTTGATATTTCATAATATAAGTAAAACAATTAAAAATAAAGCAATATCTTAATCTGTTTACAAAAATCTAGATGTTGCTGATGATTGAAACCGTAATATCCATATCAACTTGAAACCACAATGTCCCTGTCAGCTAGAAACCACAATGTCCTTGTAATTTTGAAACCACAATGTCCATGTCAGCTAGAAACCACAATGCCCATGTCAGCTAGAAACCATACTGTCCCTGTCAGCTAGAAACCACAATGTCACCGTCATCTTGAAACCATAATGTCCCGGTCGTCTTGAAACCACAATGTTAATGTGATCTTGAAACCACAAAGTCACTGTCAGCTAGAAACCACAATGTCCCTGTTACCTTGAAACCACGATTTTCATGGCATCTTGAAACCATAATGTCCCTATCAGCTAGAAACCACAATGTTCATGTCAGCTAGAAACCACACTGTCCCTGTTAGCTAGAAACCACAATGTCCATGTCAGCTAGAAACCACACTGTCCCTGTCAGCTAGAAACCACAATATCACCGTCATCTTAAAACCATAATGTCCCTGTCGTCTTGAAACCACAATGTCCCTGTTATCTTGAAACCACAATGTCCCTGTCGTCTTAAAACCACAATGTCCATGTCAGCTAGAAACCACAATGTCCATCTCAGCTAGAAACCACAATGTCCATGTCATTTTGAAACCACAATGTCCCTATTAGTTAGAAACCACAATCTCCCTGTCATCTTGAAACCACAATGTCCATGTCAGCTAGAAACCACAATGTATCTGTCATCTTAAAACCACAATGTCCATGTCAGCTAGAAACCACAATGTCCATGTCAGTTAGAAACCACAATGTCCCTATCAGCTAGAAACCATAATGTCCCTGTCATCTTGAAACCACAATGTCCCTGTCAGATAGAAACCACAACGTCTTTATCATCTTGAAACCACAATGTTCATGTCATCTTGAAACCATAATGTTCATGTCATCTTGAAATCACAAAGTCTATGTTAGCTAGAAACCACGATGTATCTGTCATCTTGGAACCACAACGTCCTTGTAATCTTGAAACCACAATGTCCATCTCAGCTAGAAACCACAATGTCCATGTCATTTTGAAACCACAATGTCCCTATTAGTTAGAAACCACAATCTCCCTATTAGTTAGAAACCACAATCTCCCTGTCATCTTGAAACCACAATGTCCATGTCAGCTAGAAACCACAATGTAGCTGTCATCTTAAAACCACAATGTCCATGACAGCTAGAAACCACAACGTACTTGTCATCTTGGAACCACAACCCCAGTGGCACAGCGGTATGTCTGCGGACTTACAACGCTAGAAACCGGGTTTTGATACCCGTGGTGAGCAGAGCACAGATAGCCAATTGTGTAGCTTTGTGCTTAACTTCAAAGAACAAACTATCTTGTTTGTGTCTTTGATTAATCCAAAACAAAAAGGCTAGTATTTTTGACTATGAATAGGAAGAACAAGTGTGACGTTGTTTCGTGAACTAATTATAATACAAAGTTAAAGTTTCTAATCCTAGTCATTGAAAACAATGATTTGACGTCAGTTTTGTTACCACTTAACTAACTACTCCTGTTTGTGTTAAATCAGTCGTATCTTGCATTATTTGTGTAAGTGCACAGTCCAAAGTTTATTTTCGTTTATCTTTATAGTTTCCATAATGTATTTATATACAATGTTTTTCTGAGGGGGGGGGGGGTGTCTTCATGATTTTCACACGCCCACTACATATTATAGTGTTTTAATGACGTAAAAGCACATATTAACTGTACAAAGTTAGAATGGAAATTTATTAGCCATTTGTTTTCGGATATTCGCGTAAAGCTGCTAAAGAATGACCTGCGCACCTGCGCATAGCCGTCCCTAATTCGGAGCTCATAGACTAGAGGAAAGGCAGCTGGTCGACAGCATCCACCGCTTGGGCTACTTTTGTGTGACGGAACAATGGGGTTTGACAATCCCCCTTATAATCCATCCACGGCTCCGAAGTAACGAGCGCGATTCTTTGCCTTTAGCAGTAGTGTGACGCGAACATTGGATCCACGGTCAGGCATACTAATCACCGAGCCAATCATATTTTAGTTCTGGTGCTGTTAACACGTTTTTTTATGTGTGTATGTATGTTTGTTCAGTAGTTTTCTCTGTTTTAGCGCTGTATCTGTGTCTGTATCTGCCGCGAAGATCGAGCCTCCAATTTTTCAGAAATAGTTTTCTGTGTGTTTGTGTTAGCTAAGTTTCCCAGTGTCTAACTAAAGAATGGGATATTATGACACATGGTGATTACCGAAACTCGATATACAGTTTAAAAGTTTCAATTGCGTAATTGTTATATCAGTTATCCCAAGACTACTTCAAAATCTAAGTATAACATATTAGTTTTATATAAACTATCTGAACATTGCTAATCACTCTACGAACAATGAGTTCATTGCATGATTGTTATAGAGTACCAATCTATGACAATATAATGCAACAATTATCAAAACAGTTTGCAAGATTTGATTGGTTGTTAAGATACATAATGGATTATTTGTGCTCGGGCCACCACTGATATCGAAACCCGATTTTTAGCGTTATAAGCACGCAGACTTACTGCTGAGCCACTGGAGCGCGAAAGTAGTTTTAATTCAAAAGGCTTTAGGAATAATCACTTCACACACGCCCCCCCCCCAGTGGCACAGCGGTATGTCTGCGACTCTTACAACGCTAGAAACCGGGTTTCGATACCCGTGGTGGGCAGAGTACAGATAGCCCATTGTGTAGCTTTGTGCTTAACTTCAAACAAGCAAACCAACTTCATACACGTACTTGAGTGTTAACTGAGCAAAGTAACATTGTTGATATTTTCTTAAATGCCCACGTACATATTTGACGCTTAACTGAATAAAGTAACATTGCTAGTATTTTCTTAAAGGCACACGTACTGATTCTTAACTGAATAAAGTAATATTGTTGATATTTTCTTAAAGGCGCACAATCGTATTTGACCCTGAAATGAATAAAGTAACGTTATTGGTGTCTTTTTTGAAAGGCACGCGAACTGATTCTTTACCGAATAAAGTAAGGTTTTAGTATTTTTTAAAGACACACGTACTTAACTCTAAATGAATAAAGTAACATTGTTGGCATTTCTTTAAATGCGCACGTACTTGACTCTTAACTGAGCAAAGTAATATTGCCAGTATTTTCTTAAAGGCACGCGTACTGATTCTTAACTGAATAAAATAATATTGTTGATATTTTCTTAAAGACACACGAACGTATTGAACTCTGAGCTGAATAAGTAACACTGTTAGTATTTTCTTAAAGGCGCACGTGTTAATTGTTATATAAATAAACTAACACTGTTGGTATCTTCTTAAAGGATATCTAATGGGGAAAAGACGTTAAAATGATTGATAATTTTTGTTTCTGCTCACCTACGCACATCTAACATGTGATATCCTGATACTTCATGTTTAAACAAGTTGATACTCTGATACTTCATGTTTAAACAAGTTGATACCCTGATACTTCATGTTTAATCAAATTGATACCCTGATACTTCATGTTTAAACGAATAAAATTGTTTCACCTCATTATCAGTCAATAAACGCTTCAGTAGGACTATTACTGTATTTGTATTTTGTAATCATGGCAAAGCTACTAAGGTTACTTGCCGCCGTCTTTAATGTTAAATTACTGACCAGAAAGAAGACAGCCAATCAGCAGCACCCTACCTATCACTACTTACGTTAAGGGATTGACTACACCTCTTATAACGCATTCACAACTTAAAGTGGGGGAACATTTTGTGGTAGTGTATGGATTCGAACTCAGCTCGACAGCTCCAGAATCCGGAGCTCTACCAGGGCCCGATGGTTAAGTTAAATATAATTTATTTATTTTTATTATCATATTTGTTCTGTAGTAAAACTGATACAGATAAAGTTATCGGTGTTAAATCAAGCTTTACCTGCCATCTTATCAATTTATTTTCAAAAATATATAGAATCGTAATTCAAATGTGAAAAGTATTTTGACTAATTTTACATATCACGTTCCCCTTTTTTCTGTAATTACAAAGTTCATAAACTCAAATAAATATAGCCATACCCCCAAAAATAATCAAGGGCTCCAATTGCTTTCTGATCCACGAATGTCAGGTTTTGGATAATTTAGGATATTTAAAAACCGCGGTTGCCTAGATTAACAAGTGGTGTACGTACCCTAAATCGGTCCCTCTTGGGAAGAAACTCGAAGTCGAGGGTCATCCTTCTTAGGTGTCCATAAATTTTCTCAAAATGTTTTGACCAGCCATTGTTGGCGTGAACAAAACATATTAAATCACATATTCTCACAGCTGCTGCAGCGTCAACAGAAAGACGAAACAGCTCGGTCCCCACCGCGGAGAAAGAGCCAACCTAAAACGATATGCACTGCGCGTGCTCAGCTCGCGCTCATCCTCCAACAACTCAGATCGATACAGAGGGTCAGAGGTGCGTACAACTGATACACCCACCAAGAGAGAAATACAGAGTACTGAAATTAACAACGAGACACTAGTGTGGACAATGAGACAGTAGTGTTTTGATTTCAGTTGCTTAATCTCATAACTTCGAAGAGAGTACTAAGTGTCACTTGACTAAGATACTTGTGTATTTCATCTGACTATTTCTGTTTTAAATAAAACGGAAAATAACTTATCGTTTTCTTTCATCTAACAATACGTATATGGTTTTCTAAGAAGTTCCAGAAAACCTCGAGTTTTTTTTTTAATTTCACGCAATATTAGTTATTAGAACTCTTAATTCTGAGATAAACGGTTGATAGGACGAGATGACGAAACGTCATTACGATTTACCTTCCTATACAAATACAGTTTCATCCGCACATTTAAGACGTTTAAGATAAAAAACTTAAACTTCATTCTTCTTCTCCTCGCCCTATTGGTGTAACATGATACCTGAGCTGATGGTGATGGCGATATGGAAGGTCTGTCAATGGACCGAAACATTTCTGTGATGTTCCAAACGATTAGCAAAAAGTAAATGAAAGTAGGCTTAGACAATATATTTAACATCGTTTCGTTATTAGCATGCCGTGTAGTGGATAGGATAGTTCAAGGTTAGCACAACGATACCACTGAGCATGCTTCGTACTTTCTGCTGTGTGCGCGTTATAAGAATAACAGTCAAACCTGTTATTCGGTAGAAAATAGAAACAAAAGCCGTTGTGCTGGTGGTTATTTTTGACTAACTATATATATATATATATTTTTTTTCGTCAGTACTTCAAAATTGCGGAATAATATACTTGAACGACAAGAGGCACAAACTTGGCCGTTTAGCCCGCATGCGCAGGAGGCTACACTTAGAGTGGAATTCAAATACTCATTTTGTTTTGAGAATTATTATTTGGCTCCGTGTTTTTAATATCGGGCTAAAAATTTCGTTCCACATACCATTACGATAAGAATTTCGTAAGTTATTTCTTTTTTGAGAAAAACCAAGAACAACACATTCTTAAACTGTTTAACTTGCTTAAGTAGGCCCGGTTCCAAGTATCCTCTCGTTATTTTACTACACCAATTATTGGTCAATTTACTGAGACGTTTCTTTGCTCTAGAAAACAAACAACGAAATATGGCAGGTTTTCTATAATTCCATATTTTAATCATTATTTGGCATTCTTTATTATTTATGGATTTAAACACGTAAAATGTATCAAAAATGTTTTGCTCTATATGCGTTTCTTGTCTTCCAGTTACTTAAAAAAATACTCGAGACTAAGACACACATTGCTGCTCGACGATTATATTTTAAAACCCTGTTTTACATTTTATTTGCACTAGTATGGAAATGTAATTGAAACTCTAATCAATTATTTATTTTATTATATGTTTTAACCTCGAGAGTCTTATTAAAGACAACTTCATTCCGAATTAAAGAAATATATTTTTCCAAAAAGTTTTTTTTTTTATCTTTTTCTTTGCAAATAAGTAGTCTCTTAAATTATTATTTTCCCGAAAGGGGGCCGAAGCCTGCCTGGAAGGGTCACTTGTTTTAACCGCTCGCATCACTATACAGCAATGTGTTGTCTGTCAGTCAGTTAGTAGACACTAAAATGACATTACATAAGGGACTCTTAACGTTGCCAAGAATCACGAGAAAAATTATGCACTTTGTAGGCTACAACACAGCATAACGTATGAACTTCAAAAGCAAGAAATAACAATATTTGTTACTCTTAATTTTGGTTTTATTTACTCTTGAAACAGAACACTTTCGGGGACTCTGCGCAAGTACATCTAGTTTTTAAGTATAGGTGCTGCGATAACACGAGTATTTTTAATACTTACCTGTGTGGTTCGTTTTTATTTGGAAATCTCGTTTTTGTTAATTTTATAATAAATAATGTCACAGATTCTGAGTACAGTTTGTTTTATTGCAATTTCGTTAACACGTTTTATACCAAAAAACTAATTGAACTTGCTTCCATGCCAGTCTTACCTACGAAATTTTTAATGTTGATGCACAGTAAAACAAGCTTCGCAAAAGTATTTATGCCGTATTACTCTGTGTTTTCTTTCCTATTTATTTATTTCGTACCTAAAGCGCTCGATTAGTAATCTGAGGGTCGCGGGTTCGAATCCCCGTCTCACTAAACATGCTCGCCCTTTCAGCCGTGAGAGCTTTACGATGTGACGGTCAATCCTAATTTTACGTTGGCAAAGATCAGCCGAAGATTTGGCTGTATGTGGTGCTGACTAGTTATCTTCCCTCTAATCTATCACTTCTAAATCAGGGACGGCTAGAGCAGATAGCTCTCAGTAGTTTTGCACGGAATTAAACACATAAACGGACTCAGACAATAATATCATGACGCTGTTCATATCTAAATCATGACACTGTGCATACGTCAATCTTGACACTAAACATACGTCAATCTTGACACTGGACATACGTCAATCATGACACTGTACATATGTCAATCTTGACGCTGTACGTGCCAATCATGGTGCTGTACATATGTGAATCATGACACTGTACATACACCAACCATGACGCTGGACCTAGGTCAACCATGACACTATAAATACGTCAATCATGACACTGAGCATACGTCCATCATAACATTGGACATATGTCAATCATGAAACTGGACCTACGTCAACCATGACATTATACATACGTCAATCATGACACTGGACATACGTCAATCATACACTGGACATACGTCAATCATGACACTGGACATACGTCAATCATGACACTGTGCATACGTCAATTTCGACACTATATATACAAAATAACTAACCACTAAGTAAAAAAGGTTAAAGCTCATAGTGATTACGTCAACAAATGACCTTTTATTCTAATTCTCTCTTTCTCTGTATGGTCAAAAAGCAGAATACTTTGACCTTATCTGAAGTGTTGTGAACATGTTGTCTAACTTTGAAAATGGCACTGAATGGTTAAGGCGGGCTGAACAGGGTCGATTCGTATTAGTATTCTACACCTGTAGTTAGGTTTAAAAAAGTAGAAATTATTTATTCGCTTTGTACTATTAAGCTATTACTATATATTCTATAAAATGAATTAAGTATTGACTATTCTTCTCAGGATTGAATTAATATACTATTGATAATCATTTCACAGAAGAGGCGCGAAGCAGATACTTTGATTATTACCCTAAGAAGAGAAATCCCTCACGCACTAACTTGTATATATAAGTCTAACGAGTAAAATGTTCATTTCTCAGAAAAATATGAACATTTTACCAGTTACTACATATTCTTGTAATATACCAATTAACATCAAAGGCAGCAAAACTTATTAGAAGGCTGTACATCGAAAAAGCAGCCTCTGAGCTGTGAAAGCGCCACCTGTAAGACAAAAGTATCCACAAAATTATATTGAAAAATTTATTCCGTCGCCATGTTGTGGTTTAAATTTTTATGTTTCACGCTAAAGTAGAAATATTACTTATATATGCGTGTGTGTGTGTGTATGTATATATATATATATATATATATATATATATATTATTACTAAAACTTACTTCTCCCACCTATAGATTGCTTGGAGGGCATCTTTGATAAAGGTACTCATTTCTCTTCGCGTAGGCTCAGTCAATCTCAGCAAATCGGCGCTTTATTTAATACTGCAAATCAAAAAGACATTTCGAAATTATCAAAGAAAGAAACCTGCATACACCATACACTAAATTTCCCATATAAATATCAAAGCATACTAATTAGTTAATCTTATTAAAAACATTACAAAAACAATAATAATATAATGAAATTCAGCGTCGTTTGGTAAAGCTAAATTTCGAGTTTTCTCGGATAGAACAGTTTCTTTTTTTACGCTGGCCACGGTATTTTACTGGTTATTGATCATAGAGACCTGTGTACAATTCTCTTTAGACACTGTCAGAAATCCATACACTATTCGTAATCCTCTGCATTTGAAATATCTCTTCAACGTACTGCACGTGTATAGGAATGAATAGACATGCTCCACACGAATGGACTTCAATAACAAAGTTTTAGAACTAGTACGGATACAAGTGTTTAGTTGATAGGAATGGACTTCAATAACAAAGTTTTAGAACTAGTACGGATACAAGTGTTTAGTTGATAGGAATGGACTTCAATAACAAAGTTTTAGAACTAGTACGGATACAAGTGTTTATTGATTGGAATGGACTTCAATAACAAAGTTTTAGAACTAGTACGGATACAAGTGTTTAGTTGATAGGAATGGACTTCAATAACAAAGTTTTAGAACTAGTACGGATACAAGTGTTTAGTTGATAGGAATGGACTTCAATAACAAAGTTTTAGAACTAGTACGGATACAAGTGTTTAGTTGATAGGAATGGACTATATAACACTGACATCGTAGCCCACATATAAGTGTTTAATTTCTAACAGTGGACGACATAACTCTGACATCTTAGCCCAGATACAAGTGTTTAGTTGCTAGGAATGGACTATATAACACTGACATATTAGCCTACATATAAGTGTTTAAAGCTAATATGTCAGTGTTATATAGTCCATTCCTAGCAACTAAACACTTATATGTAGGCTAATATGTCAGAGCTGTGTAGTCCTTTGTTAGCAACTAAACACTTGTATCTGGGCTAAGATGTCAGAGTTATGTCGTCCACTGTTAGAAACACATATAAGTGTTTAGTTGCTAACAATGGATCACATAACTCCGACATTTCTGCCCAGATACAAGTGTTTAGTTGCTAACAAAGGACTACACAGCTCTGACATATTAGCCTAGATACAAGTGTCTAGTTGCTAATAAAGGACTACACAGCTCTGACATACTAGCCCAGATTCAAGTGTTTAGTTGCTAACAATGAACTACAC